GACACGAAAGACAGAAGAGAGAGCTTCTCTTGCGGTTGCATCGTAGAGAGAAGAAAACCTAATTACAGGAAGAGGGAGAAGGTCTTCTGTGGTTGACAGAAGGCCTCTGGCCAAACCTCCGGTGAGAGAAGTGCACCCGACTTGAGAAGCTAGCTGGTGAGCTTGACTTGTTCCGTTCTTCTTCTTTCTTCTCCTGAAATTTCTATTGCTTTCGGTCCACAGGAGGAAGCTGTAAACAACAACAGAGAAGGTCTCTGTTTCACTCTCCTGGAAGGCTTCCAATCTTCTTTGCTGCAGTTGAGGAGGAAGGGTGGCCGAGTCTAGCATTGGCCACGCTCCAATGGCTGATTGCCGGCTGTATGACTACCTCAGAGAGCAGACGCTTCGACTTCTCTGGCGGCCGGATTCTTTGTAGCAGACAGCTAAAGCTCACACCCATGCTGCGAGACCTTCGGAGGTCTTCTATCCCTGCAACAGTGGGTAGCAGCGTGTTATGCCTCTTCGCTCCTTCTCTGTTGCCGGTAAATGTATGAAGTTACTGGGCTGGTCTTTCTGGCCGGACAAATTTTCAAATTTTAGGTGCCGTTCTTTTTATAATTTCAAAGTATATATTTTATTTTTAAAATTAAAATTTTTTAATTATATTTTAGATGTATATACTTTAAAAAATTGAGATATATACTTAAAATTAAGTACAGTTTTAGGGCAATACTCACTGTAAAAATACACTTACTTATCTTCTATTAAAAAAACATTTTTTCTCCTTCATTTTATAGCATAAGTACAACTATAAATACAAACTACACATACATACATGTATATATACACACATACAAATACTTACATGTACAAATACATACATATATATATGTATTTATATATGTATTTATGTAGTTGATGTATAATATATACATAGAAGCATACATATATATATATATATATACACAGGTATGTAAACGAGTCGGATTCGGATTAAATCAGGCTGATCCAAATCCAAATACGATTATCAATGTATATATCCGAATCCAACTTGAAATCTTATAAGATTTCTATTTGTTATTACCGAATCCGAATCTGATAAAAATCTGAAATCCGAATAAAAAATCCGATCTGAATAACTGTTAATAATAATTAAAATCAAATAATTAGTAAGTAAAAGATATGTAAAATCAAATAAATTATTATTTATGAATGATAAAAATTCTTGTAAGATTTATGTTTAATTATTTTTCTTTTATTAAAATATAAATAAAATTTAAAAATAAATTGTTATTTATGAATGATAAAGAAAAACTTTTGTTATATAATATATTACAAAAGTGATGATAGGATTCCAATGTTTTATAAAATTATTAAGTTTTATTTGTATTATAGTTTGAAGTAAGAAAATTTTATAATCAATTTATTCAAGTGTTTCATGAAATTTCAAAAGTAATTATTTATTAAAAATAATACTTACTAGAAAAACTAAAATTAAGGAAAGTAGAAGAATATTATAGAATAGTTTATAAAAAATATACATTATTCTATTAAATAAAATGCCTCACAAATACAAATTAGTGTATTATTAATTATAATGTCATATATATTACATTATATATAAAAGTATTTATTAATATATATAATTATTAATTAAATAAAAATTATTATTAAAATATTCAGATTCGGATTTTTAACGGATCAGATTGCTTAATTCCATATCCGGTCCACTCATTTCGGATTATGAATATTTATAATCGGATTTAATCTATCAGATATTTTAATCGGTTAAATAACTTAAAATTCGGATTAGATTCGGATTGAAATCCAACCCATTGACAGCCCTATATACACACACACACATGTATGTATATTTTAATCTTTCTTCTCTTAATTATTGATTACTTAATTTATTCTCTTATTCATATCAATCTCTAATATATTAAATTATTTATAAAAAATAATATATAAAAAAATATAATTTCAAAAATATACTTTAAACTATACCCAAAAAAATAATGTTTCAATTATTTTTAAAATATTATATATTAAAAATATTTTTTAATTTTAAAAATATTTGTTTCAAAACTGTAAAAGAACTCCCCTCACCGCTAAGTGAATCCACGGCCGAGACCAGGCGCCTGTACCCCAGTCTGGATTTGATCCAACTCCAAAGAGGACTCAGTAAAGGTAAAAAATTTCACTTTTTTTTGTCTTCTTTTTCAAGTGAACGAGAATACTAAGACAGAAAATTTTCGGTCTAGGAAGATTCCTTTTGTACAAGTACTCCACAAGTGATGACAAAATTCTTTCAAGCTAGGACTTTTTGATTGATGAAAATTAATCAATTAAACTTGTCATTTGAATTCTTTATATATTTATTTAAATCTAATTTAATTAGATTGGGTCTAATTTAACCCGATCGATATACTAAACCTACGTCTAATAATAACCCAGAATTAATTTAAATATCTCCAATCTTAAAAAAAAAAGAATCATAAAATAATATATATATATATATATTATTCAGTTCACCTTTTCCATTAATGATATTTACTTAGTGGCGGACCAACATAAAAAGTGTTTACTTAATGAGTTAATCGCTGGTATTAATTACTCATTAATTGCATTGTTATTATAATTAAGATCTAGTGGCACATGGATGGTGCGTCCAGAGGAAACTAACAAAAAATACATAAAAAAAGTAGGGCTAAATAACACTCTCCTCTGTGTCAAATTTGTTTAAATAGCATTTAGTCACGTTCTTCTCTTAAAAACTCCTTATCTTTGACTAAAATTAACTAACAATTTCCATCTATTTACCATTAAATGATATTAATTTAAAAATTTTAAATTAATTTGTGTTATATATAATATAAATACATTTTATAAAATAAATAAAATTACTTATACTATAAAATTAAAATACTCATTATAGTCAATAAATATTCACAAGTTGATCCATTTTTTTAAAAAAGTTCATTTTTAAAATTTTTAATTTTTTCATTACTTTATTTGATATTAAAATTTAATTTTTAAAAAATTAAAAAACTTAACTTATTAAGAATTATATTTTATCATTTTATTAAAAAAGTCTTTATATCTTTTTAATATTAGATATAGCAAACTTATTTTTAATAAAATGGTAAAATCAAATTTTTAATAATTTAAATTCTTAATTTTTTTATTTTTTATTTTCAAAGTAACATAAAAATAAAAATTTAGAAATTTAAAAAAATTAACTTTTTTTAATGAATGAATCAACTTGTTAATATTTTGTAACTATAATAAATAATTTAATTTTATATGATAAAAAATTTATTATATTTTTATAAAATATTTTTTTATAATACATAAAATAAAAAATTAATTTTAATTTTTTAAATACAAGTAAATAAAAATTATTAGTCAACTTTAGTTAAAGAAGAAGAATATATTTTAAAAGTAAGAATGGTATTAAATTTTATTTAAACAAATCTAAAGAGATGAGAGTGTTATTTGCCCAAAAAGTAACTGAATTCTCTTTTTTATCACTAGAGTTACCCATATCAACTTTCTCCATCCTTTTACAGCTATTGCAAACTCTAAACTTACATTTCTGTTTCCAAATTATAATAATCTCGTACCCTACTTGATCTTTACCTACATGCCCATTAAAAATCTCCAAAACAACACTCGCCCGCCAGCCTTGATGTATTCCGTTTTTTAAAAATTGTTTCTTAATGTATGTCTAATCCAACATGGGGAGAATAAGCATCATTAACTTGATCCATTATTTAAGCCTTTATAAAATACACTGGCGACGTCATTCTCATGTTTTTCTCTATTAGTGAAGTGTGCATCTCGTGTTACTAATCATGGTACATATGAGCTGCATATGCCTAGTTTCCAAGAGGGTTTTCTGAGCTTAATATTCTGATCAACTTCTTATCTACACTGTTATAAAATATAAGAAACCTTACTTAGCACTCTTACAAAATATGGACATTAGGAAACCTTACAACCAAAAGCAGCAACTTCTCTTTGACTTTTCTTCGCGGCAGTTAGAAGTACATGTAATGTTCTATTTACGAGGGAACGCTTTCATATTTAATCATCTACCAATGCAACCCTCGTCTTAGATTCAAGTTTGGAGCAAGCGTGTAAAATAGAGAACATTGATATGTCTCTCACAGGGTTGTATTTGTAACTATGTTTTTCTATTTAATTTACAAAAAAGTATACGCATTATCAGTGACTTGTTAATAGATTACTAGTTCCAACTGTGTGATAATTTTAAAGATAAAACACTATGGTTGAATGATTGTGCAATCCACATTTCCCAAAAAAGTTAACCCGAATGCTGAACTTCATGTGCAGTGAAGAGATGAACACAGTCGAGTCTGTTGGCTCACCAAAGTGGCACATGCATAGTTTCATATTATCATGTACACACCCTTGCATGTTGAAGAGAGTATGAAAAGAAATCCCCAAAAACAGAAGAAAAGGAGAGCACGCGGGGTCCCAAGAACGACATCTACTTGAGGGATTACTTTTATGCCACCCGTTTCTCTTGCAATACAGAAGAGATCCTACTTATCGTCAGTAACTTGAAAATAATTAAACCAATGAAAAAAATATAAGCTCTGACTTGTTAACCATACAACTGAATGCTACTTGGAAGCCTTTATATATGGGTGATCTAACCAACACTGCAGATTTCTTGAAAGATGAACTTCTCAATCAAAATTAGGTTTTTTACAGATAGAGAACCCACATACAATGCTTCAGGTGGTTCCCTGAAAAAATTTTATTATCGATTTGCCCTGCTAGAATTGGCAAAACTATACAGTGAAAAAGAATTTCTGATCTGGCCATACCGGAAACAATGCTGTTCTTTTTGTATTATTCTCCAATGATGTGCCCTGAACAGGCTTAATTATAATACTTTTACCTGGCCGCTCTTTGTTCTATAACCTATGAATATGAGCTTAGGTATCCCACAGTCTTAAGCATACTCTATAAATTAGATGACCTCCAAATCAAATGAAATCTGGCTGGCCCGTTGATGTCAAGCAACGATGCCACATTCGACTGTTAGGATCCACAGCCCTTGAGTAGGAGATAACTTCAGGTATGGGAAGGTAAACGTAGTGGGTGTTGCATATGCCCACTGTGATGCCACTGTATCCTGCGAATGCACCATGAACCTACCAAGGAAACACATCAACCACTATCAATAAGACAGTCAGTTAAAAATGTACTATAATGAAAATAAGGTAGCCCAATGAACAAAGCCTCTCTTACTGGATGGTGCAGAAAAGGTTATATATAACTTGAACATGCAGAGGGATTTCCATGATTACAGCCCCCATGACATTTAAGTTGGAATCAATTTATTTTTTACTATTGCATCAATGCTTGCCCTCTAAAGGTAACCCATGCAATAGACCCTGACCAAATTGGTTCATAAAACTTTTTCTTACATATGAAGAGATTTGCTTAGGTTACTCTAACCAATAAAATTAATGCGCCAAAGACCTATCTTAGGTTATCACAACTATTCACCTGTGGACAATAACATAGGCTCCAATGAATTAAGCCTAGGGACAACAATCGATGGAAGTTTTGATTTCCTATCAGAAAGTACTACATGAAACAGTAGGGAAATATGTTTAAAAAGAAAAAGAAAACAGAAATATGTTATCGAAATGGAAAGATTACATAGCTTGATGGCTTAGTTTTTTTTTTCCCCCAAATTTGTGCATTATAAAAAAGTTCAGAAAATTATAGTAGTCCCTTCCATGTCCAGACATAATTGAGGTGTCAGGCCAAGGGTTTGATCTCGTAACAATCCCTGTGTTTGAACCTGAAGATTTGTTTACTTTAAGTGCCTGAACTCTTATGTATTTTAACCATTTGAATCCCTAAGTTAGAGACCGAAGCAAAAGAAAGTCTGATGGGACTATGTTTATGTTTTACTGTAATAGTTTAAATAAAATTTCAGTTCAAAAAGAAAATTTTAAATAAATTCTCATTCTAGAGTTCTTGCCTGCTAAACAGAGCACGCTCAGACTGTGCATGAGCCAAAAAGTAGACAATAAAAATTCCCATCAACTAGGTGCCAAGGAAATGAACATGTTTGTAAGCCCAACCACAAACTAATAAGACATTTCCTCGCATCAGATGAGGAAATAACCCATAACTGAGTAATATTAACAAATTGCTTTTCGTATTTGTTAATAGTTGCAAAAGTTTTCCCGAGTAATCTACAGGCTAATTAATGATTGAAGTTGGACAAGGCGAACAAAGGTACATTGCAATAATGACTTGGAAAGATTATTGTACAGAATAATGGGTATTATATTTCCTAATTTTCAGGCTTGACAGGTTTGTAGATTTTCATGGTGATGTTGATATCTCTACTGACAGCTTTTTGTTTCAAATCTTGTTTGTGAACCATGTCTTTGTGCACATGCTTTGCTCTGTGTATCATTTTATTTTACATCACCTTTTTTTCCCTAGGTGGTTTGGTGGAGAACATATCTCATCAACTAAGGGGGCATTCGGATGGCCTGATTACGCCTGATAAGGATAACCTTATCAGCTGTTACACGCGTTTGGATCGCGTGTAACAGCTTATGTAACAGATACATATCAGCCGGATTCGGATACATTATCCAACGGAAAACGCCGGATAAATTTTATCCGCACGTTTCATTTGGAGATCTCGGACAAAAATGCCTTGGGTCGTGCGGGCGCGAGACAGAGGGAGGAAGGGAGTGACGGAGGCGAGGCATGTCGGACGGAGGCATCGTCTGCCTGGGTCGGCATCGTCTAGCCCTACGGGTTTGGATTCTGCCTTGGATCGGGACACCTAAAAGAGGACCAGGTGGAGCGCCCGATCGGCTGGAAGGACGACGCCGCCGCCACCGCCGACGACGCAAAGCCCAGACGCAGAGCCCGAACAACGACGATCTGATCGGAATCTGTTTGGATTGTTTTGTTTTGTTTTTATTTTTTATTTTTTATATAACCCGATCTGGGTTTATTTTTACTTAACCCAGATCTGGGTTTGTTTTTTTTCAAACCTGGATCTGTTCTGTTTTTTTTTTTTTAACTCATAAAAGGGCATTTTGGTAAATTTATACTTTTATCCTACATTTTAAAAATTTTATCCCACTTACTATCTGTTGAACAAAACATGTGATAAAATTTATCCCCCTAATAAATTTATCCAGTTATATCCTTATCCCCCTATATCCTATCCCTCCAACCGAACGCCCCCTAACATGAAACACAGATGAAGGCAATTCAGAAATAAAATGAGCCACATTGAGGCACTAAATAAGATGCAACTTTTCCCCTTATGAAATAAACACAAAAATGAAAATAGGAGCACAACCAACTTACTGCATTTTGACCCAGGACTGTACAAAGAATTCCATCTGACGCATTTGCTCGGACGGCTCGGATCATGTATGTGGGATCAATATACTTCACATCAGCTGGAATACCAATCTCTCTAAAATATTTTTTTGTCTTACAGACAAGAAGTAAATGATAATCAGTATCAATGACATGGACAGGAAACAAGGTGCCATAAAGAATTATTTCAGAAGGATAAAATAAGGTTGATGTAAAGAGAGTCCAGAAACATGAAACAAAGTACTTAAGAAGTGCTCTTCAAGACTAGTTTGAGATGATTTTGCTATAATGTCTGATGTATCATCTGTGTAGCATTATGTAAGTAGAATCTGAACTCAACTTACTAATTGAAAAAAGTGATTAAATTTAGGACAGAAATCAACCTATCTATGAGTAATAATATCATATAAAAGTTGCTTCAATTCACAAAAACACTCTTTGAGATAGTTCGTCAGACTTGCTTGACCAGTGAGGAAAAGTCTTCCATAATTTATCAACAGTGAACTTGAAAGATTGATACCCTGATCATCCCTTCATCTTAAGAACAGTGTGTTCTATCATTGATTTTCAGGATATTTAGATAGCTAACACAAAAATGAAGTTATTAGCAAAACCTAGAAGAGAGAGAGTGACAGATTAACTAGCAGAGGACCAGACAAATGGCACCTGAACTAGTTCCCATCTCACATTAATCCAGTTGATTTTACGTTCAGCAAGTAACCGGGTTACCTTTAACTAGTGACAATAAAAAATAATAAAATCAAAATAAAACAGTTTTACCTTTAACTAGTGACAATTAAAAACAGATTGGAGCACCAAAAGGAAATTCAATTAAAACGGATTCATTAATCGTGGACATGGAAAACACTTGAGACTCTAAATGCATATTTGTTCATCTTTTACTTCTTGAATGGCATCAGTGACTCTCCAGATTCAGATAATAAATGATTTATGTCACAGAATCATTATCAATTCTCATGGCTCTAGCCTTCTATTTTTGCACATCAAGACACCTAATGTAACAGAAATGAAGAAAAGAAAAGAAGCATTTATGTCAACTTTATTTAGGTCCACTGATCAAATAATTTAAAGAGGTCAAATTAAAAATAACTGGAATTTTAATTGCCATAAAAAGATCAATAGCTGCATGAAGTTGCAAGTACTGACCTCCTGCTGTAAATGCACACCAATATCTCCAAATACAATATTTCCAGATGCATCTTTGGCATTAGTTTTTGGTAGGAATTCCTATTCAAAAATAAATAAATAAATAAAGAAAAATTGAATGCCAAGCCAATAGTGAACTTTCTATAGGATATCACACATTCTTGTTAAAACATTAAAACTAAATTTACACATCCAGATATTGGAAATTTATAATATCCTCTACTTCCACAAAGATAAAACGAAAGTGATGGTAAACTAAAATTACAACCTTATCAGTAGAAAAGCAATGCATCAATTACATGAAAATGAAGTACAGATAAAATGCTCAGTATTCTTACAATGTCCAGGACACTAGTTATAAACAAGAGTGGCACTGTTAAGCAAATATATAGTATTGTATGTAGAAGTGGCAGAAAGAAGATAATTTAACTATCATATAAAGCAATTAGTTTCATTCATTTCCTTTGAAAAATTCTTCATAAATTGTAAAAAATTGAAAGTAAACACAGCAAAGAAGATGACATTAAGAAATATCACAATGCAGTTACACATTGATAGCAGTAAAGTACAAGAATTACTAATTTGAATAAGTTTTACCAAATAGCCCATAAATGAGAAAACTATGTAATGCACCTGCCCAGCACCCTCTGCTACACAGACTACAGCTGATCCCTTTGTCTCAAGAAGATACTTCAAATGCCTCAGGACACCATGTGGCCCATGTAAGTTGAAAGGCACCTTAGATTGTTAACAGAGACAGAATCAATAACAAGGTTAACAAAATAAAAATGTACTAATATATAGCAGAAATACCTCAGGAATCAAACATATATCAACTTGTCCACTAGCAAGGGAGGCATGCATGGCTATAAATCCACTACTACGACCCATTAACTTAACAACACCAATACCATGATAAGCACTGTGTGCCTGTCAAAAGATAAACAAAAAAATCAGGTGTCTAAAAAATCAATCCAACATAAGTAGACTTTCAAGTACATAACTTGCAGTAGTTGCAGATATAAAGGAGTGTGATGCACAATAGGATAGGTAGACAAGCAGTCTTTACCTCAATGTAAGCAGAATTTATTGCTCGCTGTGCTTCTTCAACGGCAGTATCAAAGCCAAAAGTTTTATCCATCAATAGAATGTCATTGTCTATGGTTTTTGGCACACCAACAACAGCCACTCTTAGCCGTCTTTTACAGCACTAAATGCCAAAGAGTGAAGAATTAGACATTCTAAAATGAAACAAAAACTTCCAAAATTAAAGCCAGCATGTGTGTATCCCTATTACACTGAAGTTTTAGCAACATACAACAAATAATGCAGTAAGACAATCCATACATAGAAAAGCAAAAGTTTTAGTTTGTTAATTTGCATGTCCATTTTTTACTCTCATTTTATTCCATCATGTCAACAGGAGGCAGGTGGTAAATGGCACCTATTTCTTTAAAACTAACAGGCAATTAATTAAAAGCCTTTTCACCTCATCAGCGGCCATCCACTAACATGTGGGAGGCAATGCCTGTACCCTATCTGAGAGGGAAGATGAAGGAGGTGAAAGAACAATCAAACTAAACAAAGTGAGCTTTATGGAAACCTAGTTTAAGGAAAAAAAGGAAAAAAAGGAAAAAAGGTCTTCATGGAGAAAAATATTTAAGCAGGTTACACAAATTTTGGCACAAATCAGCAACAGAGTAAAATGATAAAAACCTAACCAACCTCATTGTGTATTGCATTGGCACCAGCATGGGTTCCATTTCCACCCAGCACGAAAAGCATGTTGACTCCCCTTTCCTGATAGCAATTAACACACACCCATGAGAACAAATTATTCCTAACACCGTATAAATTTCCAGGAACCCAGAGAAAGCTGAAGAAAGGTCTGAAAGTAAAAAATAAAATCAATATGATACCTCCATCCTGTCCACGATGTCACTAACACTGGGTCCTCCACGTGAGACTCCTAACAAGCTTCCACCAGAAAGATGAATGTTTTGGACCACTTTCCTGGATAGCTGATAACCAAGCACATAATTTAGCTTATCTCTAATAACATGTCTTTACAAAAGGTAAACCTACTCGTATGGTCATAATAAAAAAATTGGCATAACTAAAAAGTCAGCAAGCCTCATCTAAAAATGACTTGGTCAAAAGTTGCAGGTTTCAAAACTAGAACATATCAAGCCTTGTATTATGTGTATTTCCTTTTCTCATAAAGAAACCTCACATCAGCTGAGATAAAATTATGATGGAGAAATTTCCATGACAAGAAAAGTGCTTGCTATTAACCATAGCTACAAAAGGCTGGCAAGTAAGACAAGTGTCATCCAAACAGAACACCATGTGATTGAGAGAACATAATCAACATATCATATAACTTCCTGACAAAAAGCCTACATAGCAGTAGAGCAATTCACTGGTCAACATTTTAGGAGAAATCCTAACAAGAACTTAAGCCAGCAAGTAATTCAGAGAACTTGGTAATGAACAATGAGGACTAAAATAATATATGGAAAGGACCATGATAATCAATGATCTGTTTGGAAAATTATAATAACATCACATCTTTAAATGTGCACTAACAGTTATTCTAACTAAACTTCAGGCAAGCAGTTTCAATAATAGAAGTAAGAACTTACTGGCATTTCTTTCAACTCTTTGTCAGAAAAACCACGATAACCAAAAGGAATTCCCACAATCTTTTTCACACCATATATTTCTAGAGTGATCACAATCTGCAGCCAAAAAAAGATGGAAAAATTATGACAATAAGTAAGGAAGTACAATTCCTCCCATAATGACAGTTTAGAATAGCCTTTTGGGTCTGCAAATCATTTATATTTTGTAACTAGAAACATGTTCATTTTGACAAAAATTAAATCATCGTAAATTACAATCCTATAGATAAATATTACTAAGCAATAGAACTTTGTAAGGAGATTCAATTTTTACTAGTTAGTTCATAAATTCAATTTTAATGACTTGACAGTCTCAGAATAATTAATATGATGACTTCATTAAAAGGCTAGTCCATTTTGACAGTGATCAAACATCTATTTTTAAAAAAGAAAAAAAGACTTCTAGATAAGATAACTACATGTCTGATGACATCATTAAGACCGGGGCAAAGTCCACCACAAGTCACAATTGCTGCTTTTACTTCTTCTGGTCTGAAGTATATTTCCTCTCGAGGACCAGCACGATGAACCCTAAAAAGTTATCAGTGCAATTCCATTAGTGAAGGTGTTTTTATCACATAGAATCTAATATATGAAAAATATATGGACTGCATGCGTAAAATCACAAAATGGTTATAAGATGTATTTAACTACTTGCACATTCAAATGCATCTCCAGAAGACTTCTCGTTTCCCAAGAAGACATTTTTCTCCCCATAAGTAAAAAGTACTGAATAGCAATAAATTGGTACAGAAATATATGTTTCTTTCTTGTTAGCAAAACTAACTTAAGAAACAACAAGTTTGGAAAAAGAGATACATGCTTGCTTCTTGCAAGTAAAGATACTATAAGTAATAATAAACTGAGGAGAGAAATATAAAGGAATAGACAGCATTTTCTTGGGCTCTCACAGTTTTGCAGTTACCCATCTCAGTGATTGTTAGGCTTCAGGAAAGTACCAGTATATTTTATTTGAAACAAGGCAGTATAAGATATCATGTATCACCTCATAATTATTAGATTTGGCAAGCAATATATTTTATTTGACAGCGTTATGCAACATCATGTCTCAATGATTTCCTTCAATTGCAGGCTTATAAACATTTTGCCAAGTCGTATATGACATTTACCATTGTTCTACCCAAGTACAATCCGGATCAATGCACTCGGCACCGGCAGATGTAGGAGATGAATAGCGTATAACCTAAAATAAAATTAAAAAAAAATACCGCTTATAAGATAAGAAAATAATACAAGATAAGCAAGGAATCTAAATGTAAGAAATAAATCAATTTTATGATCCATTAATCTCTAAATTAATCATGTTTGAGGGGGGAAAGAAACAAACAAACTGGTCTGAAAAGTGAGCAAGGTACAAAGCCAAAAGCAGATAAAATATTTAAGGGTTACATTACTTTTAGAAGGAACTCCTGTGACTTGAAATCATGGCAGATGCAACATATTAGATTTCTTAAGCAATGTTACTTTCTAAAAGAAAGATGAAATGAAACCATGTGAAGACAATCAACATTTGACCTCGTAGAAGAAGAATAAATAACTTCCTCAAATTCTTTTACGATTCAGAAAGAATTATGTCTCTATGAGTTAGATGTGAGTAGGCAAACAGACAAATTTATTTATGATGCCATTGCAGCAGAACAAGTCCACCTGTATAAAAGTAGTAGAAATCATAAATATTTACAAACAAATAATTCTTTGATCTTTGTCAGATGTATTAATCGATAGAATATGCTCACAGGACCATCCAACTTCTAAAACATTGTTTCCTTATTTAAATTGAAGTTGTTTCCAATTTTAGCAACAAACTCAAGATGGTAGATTTCTTAAAACTCTGGCTCCTGAGGAATTATTAAACCAAGTAACTTGATGCGTGAGAATGCAGCCATTTTACTTTTACTATATATGATAAGGTTCACATGGATCATGATCTCAGTTAGATTTGTCCTGCATGTCTACTGCGTAAGCACATGCATGTTTATGCACTACAACTAAGTTTGCAGCAAGCAATAAATAGCAAAACATTCTCCCATGCAAACCTAAAGGCTCCCATTAAGTTTAAGTTCTCAAAGCATAATTCCTGCACTATTATAGTATGCTTAATTGCCTGTGCAGACATGCTCAGAGATGGTAATCTCAATCTAAAGCAAGGCACATCACTTCCAATTTTGCTGTAAGCGAATAATCAATCAGATTAATAATTACAAGTAAGTCAAATCCAAGTGAGTGAGTATAGGAAAGATCCTCAATTTTGTGACAGTTACAAGTGTAGCATAGATGCTAGCAAGGGATGTTTTATCAGGTTGTTAATGCTTGTTGTTTATCTGTTGTTTGGTAAGGAAAAACTTAAATTGCATCTTCAGAAACGTATGTTGAACTACCTAGAAAATAACAAAGGCCCGGACAAATGTAATATTCCAAAGCCTTATAAACAGAACTAGTTTGTTGGCCCACAAAGAATGCGTTGGAATAATAGTTCGCCCGAAGAATCTCAATGTTTTGATTTTAGGAAGCTCAAAACTTGTACAGGCAGAAACTTAAGTTTAATAGACAGTGGAACTTCCCATTTTTCTGACATTTGAAAGTGCGAGCTTATCACGGCAATTTATCACGAATTACAAATCAAGAGTGGGTGATTAATATACCTTCAAAAGTACTCTGTCGCTATTATTAATATATCCATGCCACTTCTCATCAGAAGGGTAACCATCTGCAAAATCTTCGGTAGGAGTTCTGCCAAAGTAAACATATTCAGAGAGAGGAAGAGTATTTTGGTGAAGTGCATAAAGCCCAGGATCAACGGGTACACACTTGTAGTGGACTACAACAACAGGTGCAGGAACCGAAGTAGTACCGAAAAGAACAGGGCAAAAGGAAAATGAAATAAATGAAGAAACTCAACTCGACTAGAAGAGCTGAGCAGTTCAGTGAAAAATTTGTTGTACCAACTGATTCTATATAAAGTTACACAATTTCAATTGATAAGAAATAAGAAAAGTGCGAAGCAAAAAAAAAAAAAAAAAAACGTCAATCTCAAATTGAATCATAATCGAGGAGTAAATTACAGAGGCCGATGCAAAATTTGAAACTCATAACTGTGCTTAATTTCAATGGCTTACATAAAAACAAATAATTAGAAGGGGAAAAAAGTCAGAATCCATTTTGAATTTAAAACTCATGGAAGTCAAAATAGATTTCAGAAACCTCATTTTCAGGCAAAAGGTAGAGGGAATCGGAACAGCATCTTCGAATATGTCAGTTAAGTGAGGAATGTTGAATCGAGACTCGAAGTCCCTCTGGTACTTGGACTTCCAATCAGGATCGCTGAAGTCCGTCGAAGCAGCTGGTGCCACAGAATTCATTTTCTCCGCATGCACCTCAATCTTCTTGCGCATTCGGTTAATGCTCGGCTTCATAGTCGGGAAAACCGGACCGGCAATTAAACGACTCAAGGGATGAGAATTTCTCGACGGAATGACGAACCTCGGGGCGATCGCCGGCGAGAGAGTCTCCATCAAACTAGTCTTTGGAGTTAGTTAAACAGCGTAATCGCAAAAGGCTGGACCAGGAGAGAACAGACAGTTGGGGGTGTGAAGCAAGGATGTTGGAAGAATCCAATGGCGAGGGAAGATGGGCAGAGAGACAAGCAAGCCCAGCCCTGTGACAGAGAGAGAGAAGAGAGAGAGAGAGAGAGCCGTCTAGCTCGAAGACTCCGAACTTTTTTGGACAAACTCAACGAGAGAGGCGCTTCCTTTTTACTTTTTAATTTTTGTGAAAGCGGCCGCTTTCAGTTTCGATTTTGGCGACGTCCAATAGCGATTCGTTCGAAGACCTTGGCCGAAACAGAAGACAACGCAGACTCTTTCGTTTTGCCCTTTGTGAAAGTACATTCTAAAATCTAGAAAATGGCAAAATCATATATATAAAATTTTTCGGTTATTCATGAGTTATGTCATTTATTAATTTAAATAACTAATACCCATAATTAATATGATATATTTTTTATTATATTAAATATTATATATATATAAAACATTTATATTTGGTTCAGAGCACAATTTTAACCCTATTTAATATTGTGTATAAAACACAATGTTAATACTACTTATTATGACTCATTGAACTGATGCTACAAGGGTTCTGTTTTTTTTTTTTTTTATATGCAAATTAAAAAATGAAATCCAGTAAATAAAAATTACACGTATTATATCAATTAGAAAATAGGACCAAGGCTCAAGAGGAGCTTATTTACAATAGCAAAGTTGGGCATCAACCCTAAACAAGGGTTAATGGTTTATATCCTAAAATTTAAATTTGTGATTTATAAAATGATAACATTCTTCCATTATATATTATATATTTATAATTTTAAATAAATTAAAGTATTGAATATCAATCAATACAAATAAAGACTTGATAAATATGATTAAATGTTACAGAGAATTTTATGCAAAACCATTTGTTAAAAAATATTTATTTACTTCAAGATTTATTTATTTATTCTGAATATTTAAATGTGAGTAAAATTAGAAATGAAAAACCCAAAAATTTGATGACACTTTTGGCACATATGACAATAATCTTTAAAATTTTACATATTTGTAACACCCTAATTTAGGGATCAATTAAAAAATTTTGATAATTGAGGACTTAATTGATAGGAATAGAAAATTCGGTGACTTGATTAAAAGATTAGAGGGCCCAATTAATTTAATTTTATTTAAATTTACATGCCCAAATAGAATGAATCAGAAATAGTCAATAACTAAATTGCATGTAATCAAAAATTAAGAGACCAAATTGAAAATTTCCAAAATCTGGATTTGATCATCATCCCTATTTCTTTATTTGAAACCCTAATTATAATCCTATCAAATTCTCTAGATTTACGCAATTTGATCTCAAATTAAGCACACAATAATCTAGATCTGATTATTATTCTTATTTCCTTGTTCAAAACCTTGATTGCAATCCTATCAAATCTTCCAGATTTATGCGATTTGATCCCAAAAGTACACAATCACGTCAATATAAATTATTAGGACGAGATTCCTTGTTTAATTTCAATTAATTACCTTTGGTTTTGAGAGAAATTATTAAGTCGTTAATTTTTGTAACTTTTTCTACTACCATCGCAAGCATAACCATCATTTTCTGATTTTGTTTTTGTTCAATTGACAAAAGTGAAGTATTCATTTTGTCTCTTTTTAGTATCAGAAGCCAATGCTACAAATTTGGAAGCTTACTTTACTACAGGATTCACTCGACGAAGGAAGCAGGAAGATAACCCAGTTTATTAAGAATGAATCAGGTTTGGGTTTTTGATTTTGAATTCAATTATGGTTATGTGGAAATAGGTTGGGTGTTGGATTGTGATATAAACCCTATATTGGATCTGAATTGGTATCTGAATGATGATTCTAAGTTGCAGTTTAAGGATTTTAAGATGTTTTGGGATTATAGGTTCAGATCTAATAGAATTAGAATTGTAATTAAAAATATGCATTTTGGGTTTGTTGTAAGATTGTGATATTGGACCAAGAAATTGGTAATGAATATGAATCTAAATTTAGATTTGAGATTCAAATCTTTTTTTTTTTTGTGGAAAGACTTGTATGTTAAATTTGAATAGAGGATTTGGTTTGAATTTAAATCTTAGGATCTAAAATTGGTTTTAAATTTAGATTCTTTACATGGATTTATTTAATGAATTTGTATTAGTGTATTTGGATTAAATTTCAAAATGGGCTTAGACCTTTTAAAATAATAATAATAATAATAATAACAACAAACAACAATAATAACAACAATAATAATGATAACAATAGCAGCGGCAGCTATAACAATAGTAACAATATAATATAATGAAATTGGGCTTGTGTTAACATTATAATTTTTGAACTAATGGGTTAGATTTGGGTTTTTGGATTTAGATTGAATCCTTGAATTTGGATTTCGAATTTTGGGATGCAAATATGAAATTGGATTTATCT